ATCAGTAGTCCAAAAACATGGAAATGCCGATGGAAATATCGGGATGTTAACGATATTGATAAAAATTAAATAAAAACCACGGAAATTGTAAGAAAAACTTGGAAATTTTTATTAAAACTTTGGAGGATGTTTATTTAGTCAATTATCTATTAGTTTATAACCAAAAAAAAAAAAAAAGAAGGAAATGCATTGCATGATGCATTGCACGTCAATACCTTCAACTAATGTGGATCAGTTGGGAATCGATACCAATGACTTTATTGGCAGAGTTGTTAATCAGATTGAGTCGTAGATAGGCTTGAAAATTAGGCGGAACTGTGAATTTGCACATGTTCTGTTTGTTGATAAAACTGTTTCTATTTGGACTGGACTGAGGTTTTCTAGACTGGACTGGATTAAAAGTGGTTGGATTGACAATTCCTGTATTGAAAGTGGTTGAACTGACAATGGCTGGACTGACAACGTCTGGATTGACAATGATTGGTCTGGAATTGCACTTCAGTACTTGTTCTGGTTAGTGAACCGGATTTGTAACGACAGAAATCTGAGTTCTGCTTGATTCTGTTGATCTGAATTGCATTTGCAACGAGAGAAATCTATTTTTCTTCTAAATGAGCTTCTTTCTTGAGCTGGATTGACTCTGCAAGCTTGATTACCTGTATTTCTTCTGAACTAAACTTCTTCAAAGAAAAGATTGCTTGTTTTCTTTTGGTCTTGAAGACTCTCTAGATCGTATGATCTTTTGTGTTTATTAGTTTGACTGATTGCTTTGTTTGATTTGGTTTGTTTGGTTGTTTGATTGATTGGCTGTGTGTTTTTTGGTTGTTTGATTGGAGGTCCTCTTTCCAGTCCCAATACCTTATGTTTATAGGAGAATGCATGATGATGATCCCTGGATATTTGAAGAATCACAACTGGAAAGTATTACTCCAGTGATCACTTAAAAGATAAGTGCTTAGGAAGTAATTATTCTTTTAGTTTCTCAACGTCGCAAAAAACAAAACCCAGCAACCAGTTATGTTGATTATTTTTGGCTTCTCTGTCGACTGATTCCCTAAATGCCTCATGCCCCTTTTTTTGCAACTTTGTAGTGAATCAAGGTTCAACTATCCTGCTAATGAAACCATCCGGGTCCTAGCAAAAAACAACAGTCTGTATTTTGGAAACAAATAGCTACTGCTTAAAAAAAAAACAATAAACAAAAAAAAAAAGGAAAAAAAAGAAGAAGAAGAGAACTGCTTTTGCCTTTCTAGCCTAAGGTTGTCAATTTGCTTTTGCCTTTCTAGCCTTAACTATAAACCGGGTAAATATTTAAACCAATCAATTTTCAACTTGTGAATTTAATTACCATTGGTGGTAATTAAGTTCCAATTTGAAGAAATTACTTTGAATAGTATGGGCTATTCTCCATTTTTGACAAATAAGGCCCACACACTGTCTAGTAGAAAGCCCAATACTAAATGGGCTAGCGCGCATAATTTAGGCCCAAACAAATCACCATCATAATCTGCCATCAATACCAAAATATTTGTCCAGCTGCTGTTATTACCTGTATTTGCCCAACGTTTCCATTTATTACGAAACAATAATGGTAAATATGTCATCAATACCAAAATATTTGTCCAGCTGCTGTTATTACCTGTATTTGCTCAACGTTTCCATTTATTACGAAACAATAATGGTAAATATGTCATTAAAACAATTAAAATAGTACGAGAAAAACTTAGTTGCAATAGAGACAACACTGTTTTGCTATCCTCGATTAATAATGTTATGCCACATGAAAGTGTTATCGCATATGTCATAGTATTATTGGTCAGCAATAACAAAATAGTGTTATCTAAAAGAATTTAATAAACTATTTTTGCATATTTTGTTTCGTTGATATATAATTTTTTTGATACAAGCGTTATTTAGGGAGGGGATTCGAACTCAGTACTTCAGGTGCATGAATAATTGTTCTGAACTACTCGAATTACAAGCCCCTTACTTTCCTTGAGATATAAATTTAGTTCCTAAAGAAAAAGTATAGGGCTAAAAGAAACGAAAAAGAAGAATATGGAGCTTCTTATTATGTCCTGCTGCTGCACCTCTCAGGCACGGCACAGCAGATCCAGCTGGGCTTGTTCTGGACACATTAGGACATCAATTTTTAGTTTAATTGGATCCTCGCACACCTAATGAAATACTGATCAATATTTAAACTCTTCGACATTCTTGTATTACCCAACGCCTTTTGTACAGTTGTACGTATAATAATCAAATACTTAATCTACACTTGAAGCAAAATTAAAATTAAAAATGCTTAAATTACACATTCTTCATGCATTCACAGCGTGAAGAAGAAGAAAGAATAAAGAAAAATAAAATATTTATAATAAAAAATCGCAGTCTAGAAGCCCAAAAATAAAAAATGAAATTTGCTTGGACGTGGAACGTTTGGAGTTTGGATCATTTGACAAGTAAACCCACCCAATCTTATCACTCATTTATTTATGTCTGATACCAAACCCAGTACCTAAAAAACAAACCCTATTACTTTAATGAAGTTTGGCTTCTCGGAAACCCACTCGAGTTCAACAAACTAAAACAAAGCCTAGTGAGTCATGTTTGTTTTTTGTCTGGACTTTTTAGAGTAAGGATAAAATTCTACCGACTAGTTAAGGGTTTCTTACACACACTACTAAGATATCATGAGATCTCAAATATAAAATTATTGATATGCAAGTAAAGACTATTTTTCATTGGGCTAGAACTCGTTAGATGTCTAATGATAAATTTTAATATTAGAAGAGTTCTTAAGTTTCGATGTCACCTCGTCTATTAATAAAGAAAAAAAATTATAAATTATAAGTTCTAACCTTTGTTACAGAAGTGATCGCATAACATGCACATCTACTAAACCAATGACATTCGGTTTCTCTAGGTCATTACACATGCCAATTAACCCTTAACCCTTCCCCCTCTCTTTCTCCCAAAATTAGAGTTGTGAAGGTAAATTGTTTTGTGAATGATTTGGAGTGATGAAAATGACCTTGTTTAGTGGTCACATGTAAGGCGTGAGATTTCTAAGAGCATTTCCATCTATGTCATTTGTCATGGCAAAAGGTCCCCTCAGCTGCAAAAACCCATCCCACCAAGCAATTACCCGGGGCAGGTGGTGGGCTCCATTAAGATTGGGCAAGCCCAAAGGCAAGAGTAGCCTGAGCTGTTGCATAGGCACCAACGTCAACGAAGAAAAAAATTGAAAAAAAATTGAAAAAAAATTCATTAATCTCATACGTATAAATAAAATTAATCTTATGTGAATAGTGATTGTTATTGGGTTGCCATGGCAATAGGTGGGATAGGAAAAAACGGGGACCCAAAAAAAAAAAAAAAAAGAAGCTAGGTAGACACTATTTATGTGAACAGTAACCACCCTTACTTGTCCTTACCTGTTGCCATAAAAAATGGGTAGAAGTGCTCTAACGAAGAATAGGATTTTTCCTTACAACAAAACACATGCCTCAAAATATAAGGGCTAAAATTATTGCTATAAAATTCAAAGTCCAAAATGAGGTAATGGTCGAAGTTGAGCGACTATTTGGTATGATTTGCCTACTATAAATGTTGATAATGTGTTTGATTTTTTTTTTCCTGATACTTCTTTTATTAAATTGTGATAATATTAAATATGCTAATTTTCTTTTACATAAATTTTCTTGTGCATTTTATGCAAACAATTTTTTTGTGCCAACGAGGTCTAAGGCCCTGTTTGTGATTGCTTTTTTTCGCTACAAACCTGCTTCACTTAAAAGTTAAGCAGTTTAAGGTGTTTGGTAAAAAGAAAATATCCGGATTATTTTAAAAGCAATGGCCTTTTGACAGCAGCTTTTAAAAGCAAGCTCTAGGTTGCTTTTCAAAGCCGTTTTCAAAAGAAGAAGAGATGAACATTTAATGAATTTTTTTAATTCCCAAAATACCATTATTCATTTTAAAAAATGACACCACTTACCACTTACACCACCACATTCACTACCTCCACAACCACCGCAACTGCCACCACCACCACATCCTCCTCCTCCTCATCCTCAGCCACCACC